ACATATCCCAACAGACTAAAGGCTGTAATTAAAGCAAAAGGTGGTTCAACAAAATACTGACACAAGGGGGGTGATCCTTTTTCCTGATTCTGATTTTTTTCCCCCTCACATGTTGGTGTTATATCTTTCACTTGGATGTTATAAGTTGCACTGAGTAAATACAGCTGGATAAAACAACTGTGATAAAATAAACAGTGTCCATCTTCATTTCAGGCTGCAAAGCAATTTTTTTAAATTATTTTTAAGGGGGTGATTCTTTTCTATACCCACTGTAACTGTGATGTTCTACAAAACAACAAGCTTTAAAACACTTTTTTTTCTTACTGCTGAAAATTAGATCACTTACTGTGAAATCTGTTTTCTCTCAGGTACATCACCAGTGTAAGCTTCATGGTGAATACTTCTACATCACTCTTGTCAACGTAGTCTATAGTTACAACAAAAATTTATCTTGACTTTATCTAGTGGTTATTTTGGGAAAAACAGTAGGGGGGGCTTTTCCCCCACTCTACCCTACTGTTTTAAAAGCTATTCTTGAAAAAGTAAATGCATACTGATGAACAAGTACAACTTTGATATTGCCACACAGGTCTAAAAAGACAGTGCTACCTGAAGGGATACTCAAAATCCACATCTATTTTCAGGTCACTGTCTGATCTGTTTCTGCACTCCACGCTCATCCTGAAGGAGCCGGAGTAGCTCCCACAGGTGGAGAAAGCAAAGATGGCAAACACCTGGAAAAAAGGTTTATATTTATGCATTTGGCAGATGTTCAAAAGCATTCAAAGTACACATTTTATCAGTTCATGCATTCAGGAATCAAGCCCATGACCTTTCCCAGGTAGCCAGTGCAATCGGGCCAATTGCGGCTGAGTGTCGGCTCACTCGGCTGTGTTCTGGCAGCTCACCGAAAGTGAGTCAGCTCTGGCCCAGTAATGTTTGCCAGATTTGGCTAGGCTTTGGATGTGCAGACCTGGCCCGATTTGCACTGAGACACGGCACATTTAGCCACATTCGGCCCGATTACGGACCATAAGGGCTGGTCTAATTTTGGCTGAGATATGGGCATGCAGGCCTGGACCAGTTTAGGTTGAGTGCTGGGGGTAGGTCTCCATTTACAATGTGCTGAACAAATTCTTCCAAAGGTATGTTCCAAATGTTAATATTTACCAGAGTTACCATTCACGTTATCACTCTGAGATTGTCTGAATTACCATACGTGTCATTGTCTCTTCACCTTTTTGTCTCTCTTTCTGTCAATCTGTCCCTCTTTTAGGGTACGCTGCTGGACAGAAGCTCCTGGAGATTCTGAAACTGAGCTGACACCACCGGCATTGGGCCACTCGTCGGTGTGATTGTGGCCCAATACTGGTGGTGTTGGCCCAGTTTCAGTACCCAGACTCGGGCCAGTTCTGGCTAAGTGTTTCATTTCTCGTCGGTGTGATTGTGGCCCAATGCCGGTGTTGTTGTCTCAGTTTTAGTACCCAGACTCAGGCCAGTACCGGCTAAGTGTTTCAATTCTTGTCGGCGTGATTGTGGCCCAATGCCGGCAGTTTTGGCAGCCAGACTCGGGCCAGTGTATTTGGGCCGATTCTGGGGCGTCCTTCATCCCATATCCATGCCGAGTCTGGCAACCGTAGCTGGACCAAGTTATTTCTTCCGGCCTGCCGGATCTGGGCCATTATCGGGCCAAACCGTTTTGTGGCTAAGTGTTTCATTTCTCGTCGGTGTGATTGTGGCCCAATGCCGGTGTTGTTGTCTCAGTTTTAGTACCCAGACTCAGGCCAGTACCGGCTAAGTGTTTCAATTCTTGTCGGCGTGATTGTGGCCCAATGCCGGCAGTTTTGGCAGCCAGACTCGGGCCAGTGTATTTGGGCCGATTCTGGGGCGTCATTCATCCCATGTCCATGCCGAGTCTGGCAACCGCAGCCGGGCCGAGTTATTTCTTCCGGCCTGCCGGATCCGGGCCATTTTCGGGCCATTTTACTCGGTCTAACCATTTTAGCTACCTGGGTTCCATTGCTAGAACCATGCTCTTTTATTTGAGCTACAGGAAGGTTAACAAGTGTTTCACATATTTTAGTGACTGGAAAAAATACTGAAAAAATAGAATGCTTTCTATACATTTTCATCTGAACACTTACAATCACACATCAGACAGGGATGAAATTTGTGAAGACTGGTGCAAATGTGATAGTCATATTTTACATATTAAAATTATTTACTGTAGGAGATGTGTATGAATGCAATTAAAATACAGACTAAATAAACCAAATGAAATCATCTTACACCATGTGACACTAACATCCTGACATGGACAAAAGCACATTATTTTTCCTTTCAGGATTTAGAGTCATAGAGATTACTTATGGACTTATGGCTGGTGGAAGGACTGAATGGTGAATGAAGATATTAAATTTCACTGAGATACTCTGCCATCTGTCATATCGCTGAGCTGGGCTGTGTTATGAACCCAGGAAACATCACAGGAGACCAAAACAATAGACACACATCAAGCCACAGTAAACCATCATAAACATCAAACCAAACAAATCAAATGAGGCCAAGAGAACAAAAACATCTCAACAAAGACTGATAACCAACTGAGGAACCATAACAAGACATACTAATGCAGTTATTGTACAAACAAACAAAAAAGCCTAAACAAACTGTGTTAGAACAAACAAATCACATAGCCTAACCACCAGACCAGACAAGGTCCAAGCGAGACTATTAAACAGTTAGTCAGGCCACACAAGCTACAACAGACCAGGAAAAAAAACACACCACACAAGACAGACCAAACAAATAAAATCTGATAAAATCAAACAAAATCAGATCAGCTCACATTACCAAGCCCAGAAAAGACTGATCCCAGACAGAAACCGACCCAAATGAACTAAACTGAGTTTTGTGATTATTAAGTGAGCTTATTATACACAAAAAGCAATTTGGAGAATTATAAATGCCTTGTATGTATAATTAGAATGATGTAGACAGGATACAAATGTGCCTTTGTTCAGCATTTTACTACGTAGCCTGTTATTTGATGCCATTTTCCACTATGTACAAACTAGAAGCACTGTGTGACCAATAGAGGGCACTAATACTCTGCAATTGTGCGTGTTCTCCCGCGTGCATCTAGGTAACGGTGCGTTCACGGTGTGTATACGATGCGCTTACCCTGGCGCAGAGTGGGCGTTCTCAATTAATTCCTTCGGGAACAGAAAGCATTGAGAGCGTGAGAAATACTCAATTTTTTGCGAATGAAGAGCGGAAAACGTCAGGCGGGGGACATATGTGCTTAAACCTCTAGTTCCAGGTCTAAGTAAATTAATGGCTTAAAATCTTATATGGACTAAAACTAATGAACACACCATTTTATATATAGCGCGCGCACACACACACACACATATATACATATATATGAACCCATTCCAAGACTTACCCATTCTAAGACTTTGATGAAGCCCAATGGGACTTTCAGCACCCTGAAATGCCCACCGGCAACCAACTGTCAAAAGAACAAAATTTGAAAAACGTTAGACAGACAGACAGATAGATAGATAGATAGATAGATGTTGTGGATGATCTGTCTTCACCACGATGACTCCTAACACAAACAGGCCTCTTCGCTATTTATTTTGAAGTGATTGTGAAACATACGCATAGCATCTGCTGCTACTGTAAAGCATCGTCAAAAAAACAATACAAAAACCTGTATCAAAGCAGCAACAGGGTGAAAAAAAAACATTATTTCAAGTCATCAATTCATTATATCTCTGAAGCTCGAAGCAAAGGAAGGGAAGGTGAGTCGCGAGGACCTTGAACCTTGGCCAGATTGCCTGCGCGCGCGTCACCGCTATACTCGAGCCCAAGAGCCTCTGAACAGCAAGCGATAGAGATTTCTCAAACCATTTTCAACGCCAAAATCTAACAAAAAATGATGGCGCTCTTCTCTAGCAATCTGGAAAATTGCACGGCCCTTAATTAAGGGCAAACATATTAAATGTTGCGCTTAAATGTGACCGTTTTTTTTTCATGACGGCATTATTATGATATTGGGAAATGTTTGCTCATCAGACCTGAAGTATGTGATACCGATTTTATTCGGACATGAGTGACGTAGGAAGGTGCGGTTTCACACGACACCATTGTTTGCCCGTGAGGATGGTCCTCCTTTAAACACCATGCAAATAAATAAATCGATCAATACAACGATTTAGATCTCCTCTTTACGCAATTTAATAATTCATTGCAATATATAATATTGGCCTACACATGAATGCAGTTTGCATCACCTTGCAAAAATGTGTATCAGACGATGTTCTGTAAATGTAAGCATCAATAACCAATATATGATTGTGTGTCATATTCAGTAGACACAGATTTCTCGATCCCTGCCTATATAATATAAAAAAAACTAATGTAATAATAATAATAATAATACAGAAGGGCCTGGGCTCGGAGCTGAAAGTCACACAGTAACAGTGTTGGGATGGAAGTCAGCTGCCATTTTAAAAGCATATCTACGAGCGTATCTGCATGTGATAAAGGGCCTCGTGCATTCGCTTTGGGTTGATGTTACGCTTTAGCACTAAACAAAATGTAAAATTGCAAAATATAATTTGATATCATACAAATAAATGTGCATTTAGTAAATGTATAATTGCATGTATCACAACCCTCTACAAATACGTCTATACGTCTAACAAATCTAGCCCATCATCAGATCTGTTTTAAATACTATACCATACTATAAAAACGAAAATATAGGAAGTCACGAAAGAAAGCCCCTTGAAATACTGTATCAGTGAACAGACGGACAGCATCAGCAGGGCACCTCTCTATATAAGAATTTTCCACCACCATTTTTAAGCGCATCTTTATCGTATACTACGAATGCCTGACTGAAAGACAAACGAAAAACATGTACATTATTAAACACGGCAAAAATATACTAAAATCATTTTGAACCCAAAATACCCTACCTGATTTGCAATATCCATGTTAGTCGCCTGCTCGTAGATAGGAGAAACAGCTATAACTTGGGGGGGGGAGGCGAGTGATGGAAGCGGAACAGCCCACGGAGGGGGAGGGAAAATAGACAGAACAGCTTCAGTTGCGTCACGCGCTTCGAGAAGGCGTTATTTTGTTGCGCCAGGAGCGGATGAATCGATCGACGCTGATCGCAATAGAGCAATGAGATCATTAACCTGTCATAATTTACGTGCTTCTTCTAGCTCTATCTTCAGTGATGCTCTCAAATATGATATTTCCCCTTCTAATTGTGAGTTGTTGTTTCGATGGCAGGCTGCTCGCGCTGCAGAGGCCCTAAATTATGAATGTGATTGATCACTCAACACCAAATCCACTAACGTTAAGTGCTGAGATTGAATTAGATCGTTTCATTTTGCAGTGGTTCGGAGGAACGCTAAGATGCCATTTGGGAAATAATAATTCATGAGAGTCTTAAACAACAAAAACATCACAGTTATGAATAACTCGGTCTAATGTTACATGAGATGATGTAGGACTGTTTCTGGAGCGACAGTTGTTAACTCAGGATTTCACTGGGCTAAAGAAGATGGCAAGCTGTACGCCTATATAGAACTTATATCTTCTTTAACCATATCTTGTTAAAATTTCATAATGAACCCATACTATATACCGTATAATAAGATCTTTCACAGACTAAGGAAGGTGTGAATAGAATGTTCTCCTTGTGGGAAGTAACCATACAGAGTTGGACTGACAAAGATTACTCATACACTATTTTTAGAGATGGAAAAAAATAAACACTCCTGTTTAATAAAGAAATGCTAATACATGAAAATATTTCTGACATCTCAGCTAAAAAGTATTGAAATGGTTGATCCTCAAGAGCATGTATACTATGGATACAGTTGTGAGAATTAAATAGATTTTTTAATACCCATAATATATTTTATATATCAAATTTTATATTATGTTTTATATTGAATAATACTATTATTTAAATAACATCCACATACAGTGTGTGTGTGTGTGTGTATATGGCTTCCAGAGTGAGCATCATTTCCTCACTCCCTACTTCCTCCTTTTGAAGCCCAAAGCACTGCAGCTGTTTTTCTCATTACTAATAAAACACTAATTAAAGGTTCTTGAGCGTGTCTCATTGCAAAACTGATGTGCTTCAATATCCCTAGCCTCAGTATTGTAAATGAGACTGAAAAATGCTTAAAGGGGTCATATGATGTTGCTAAAAAGAACATTATTTTGTGTATTTGGTGTAATGAAATGTGTTTATGCAGTTTAAGGTTAAAAAAACACATTATTTTCTACATACTGTACATTATTGTTTCTCCTCCTCCATAAAATGCGCTGCACACATCGGAATATTTGGGTTGAACTGTTCTGGAACAGTAAATACAACTTAACCACTGATTTCTAGTTGTGTCCTCTTTTGGAAGGCCAAACAAGTTTCGCATTCACAACAAAACACAGCGTCACACACGGCAGGCTTGAGTGAGCGGCCGGCAGGCTTGCTGCAACCACATGTGATGACCCCGGGCTGGACTCCACTTCGTCCATGGTGAAAGCCGATCTGGCGATCCACAGCGCGAAGTTGATGTATTTCCTCAGCGACCAGCACGGATCAGCTCCAGGCATGACGAAGTGGATATCGTCCTCTTTTGGAAGACCAAACAAAGTAGTTTCGCTTTCACAACGAATTTCTCCTCTATGCCCCGCCTTTCTGAAACGCCTCGATTTTTACAAAGTTCATCGTTCTGAAAAGCGAGGTGTGCTGTGATTGGCCAGCTATTCAGTGCGTTGTGATTGGCCGAATACCTCAAGCGTGTGACGGAAATGTTACGCCCCTACCATATTGTGATGCCTTGTCCCTGCCGGAGCGATGAGACAAAAACATTAAAACCCATTATAAACGAGGCATTTGTTGCATCCAGTGGGGACATAATTACGGATTATAATGACTTATACTGTCTTTTTATGCGTTGCATTGCATCGCGCCGCGTAAACATAAAACCATGTCTGCATTTGTGATCGGAGAAATGACAAACTACAAACGCTACTCTACACTACTCAAAACTTGCGTTTGAATCATCAGTGGCAAATTCTTTAAATATAAAAACGTACTTGCAGTCTGTGAGTCGGAACAGCCGGCGTTGTAGTTACTCTCCCAGGATCAGGAAAAAGTCCTCCATAAAATGCGCTGCACACATCGGAATATTTGGGTTGAACTGTTCTGGAACAGTAAATACAACTTAACCACTGATTTCTAGTTGTGTCCTCTTTTGGAAGGCCAAACAAGTTTCGCATTCACAACAAAACACAGCGTCACACACGGCAGGCTTGAGTGAGCGGATCCAGCGATCCACAGCGCGAAGTTGATGTATTTTCTCAGCGACCAGCACGGATCAGCTCCAAGCATGACGAAGCGGATATCGTCCTGTTTTGGAAGGCCAAACAAAGTAGTTTCGCTTTCACAACGTAGCACACAGTGTCTTCACGACATGGCTGCAGCGGCAACGATACTACAGTGAGAATAAAAGTTATGCCTTCTTTCTTTGTGTGAACATTTGGGCGGTGTTATGCAAATCTTCCCACATCGTGACGTAGACATGTGGGGGCGTGTTAGAACGAGCCGTTTTAGGTAGGCGTGGTTGACTCTTAACTTTTATAAAAAATATCTCTTTGGATTTGAGACTTTAGTCTTTGCAACTTTACAGATCTTATTTATGCACCAAGAGCTTGTAACACTGCAAAGAGAAAGGAAAAATTGAAATCGCATCATATGACCCCTTTAATTTTGATAAAGAAGTAATGATGCAGAACATTTTTCATAGATCCAGATGTCTGGAAGAAGGGGTGGGACAGTTGAGCTAGTAGGGCTAAAGAAAGTGTCCTCCCACACAATGCACCACTACAATTGAAGTCAGTGGCTTGCAAAGTGGTCTGGTCTCAAATCAGTGTAGAAGTAACAATACAATGCATCAGCACAGCTTATATTTAACAAAAAAAATAATAATGTAAACTGTAGGTCAGGCTGGCTGTCTTCAACCTTTTCTACATTCCCTTGATAGAGAACACTTAATATTAAGCATATATTTTTCCTCAAACAATTTGGGCACACATCTAATAAACACATATAGCGTATAAAGCGACGCAGGTGGGACTTGAACCCACAATCCCCAGCTCCGGAGGCTGATGCCTGCTCCATTAGGCCACTGGGCCTTCATCATAATGTCGTACAGAATTAAAAATGGCCATGATTCTCCAGATATTATAAAAATGACAGATTGCAAAGTGTGGAAACATTTCATCTTTATATTTATTTACAAACATCATTCAGAATTTCATAAAACTTTCATTCAATCTCACATATAAATCTTTAGTTATTAGAATATTCCATGTGAAGTGGTTATATTAATAATGTTCTGCATATTTACACTAATGAAGTAAAATTGTTGGGGTAGGGAGCAAACGCTGGGGATAACATAGAGATGTGGTATGACAGAAAAGTTCTCAGCTGCAATCAGTGGTCATTTATTTTTAGAAAATGTTCAGCAATTTCCATTTTTACTGTATGAGACCCATGGATAGGGCGCAGTGTTCTCCTTCTGAATAGATCACTGTTGCTGTGGCTGTCCTATGGGTATTGTGATCAGTAAAAGGAATCTGACTAGACTAAAGTGGCTAGGCATATCAGCAATATGTCAAGATCAACCACATGTATAAAACTTGAATAAAAAATGAAAACAACCAATTAAATAATAGTAACAAAATACAAAATTAAACAACTTTTCCCAAAAAATACATTGTTTTTATTTTACTGTTCTAAAAAAAGTGTCCTTGAAAGTCCGGCCAGGCTCTGTGCAACCCAACACAAGTAATTTGCTTCTTCTAAACAGTGTGCTTTTTGTTCCAATATCATGTTTATATTTTAAAATTATTAAGCTGGAATTGGAGCAAACACCACTTAAAGACTGAAACCATGTTCAGAGACGATTAAGCAATACTGGAGCCTATCATGGAAAAAAAACTGGGAAAAAATAAACACATACTGTTTACAGAAAATGCCAGACAAACCTGTACAATGATTATAAGTGTTAATATATTCAATTATTTATTAATAAAATTCTTAAATTATTTATTTGAATAATTTAAAATACTGTTTATATATTTTAGGTAGGAGAATCCATCTGTAAATGACGTTTAAAAATAAACAGACAACCATAGACATGAATGATGGAGTAAAAACACATTTACATATATAAAACATGTTCAACATGATAAGCTAATCGGCTAAGGCGACCTATTTTTCTAATTTGATTCAACATAATCAGTCCAGACCCAAGGTCTTGTTTTCTGTTAAGCTGTTTATAAAACAAGTCTTTTCAGAGATCTGAATTTAAAGAATTTAAAACTGCCATGTTGACAGGGTAAATTGGAGCTGGTCTCTTTCACAGATTGAGCATGAACTGGTCACAATATTTCAGAGCAAAACCTTTTTCTCACCAGAATCTTTCTGTGACTCAGAACAGCATGATTGGTCAGTCAGGATTCTGTTGCTCCACCTACTGATGACCTGATTGGCTCTTTTTCTGTTATTCAAAAAGATGTAACACAAGTCATCTCATCAGCTAGTTCCTCTTCCTCGTGGCTCCTTATCGGCTCCTCATCACTGTATATGGCTGAGAAGCCATGGCTCTCCCCAGGGCCCCCACGACTCAAGAGATCACTTGCAGCACTTTCCATCTCATCTATGGTCATGTGACAGGCATCTGCAATCTCACGCTTGGCAAAGGCTACAAATTTTGGGTCCTTGGCATACAACCCCAAACCCTCAGAGATCAAGACCTGAGGAAGACAAAAAGAGAAAGATCTGGAGTGACTGATGGCACTATCCATGTCAAACTCAGATGACATATATGTTATACGTTCAAACATTTGTGGTCTGTAAGATTTTTTAAAAAGAAGTTAATATATTTACTAAGCAAAAATGAATTAAATTGATCAAAAGTGACAGTAAAGACATTTATAATGTTACAAAAGATTTCTATTTCTAAAAATGCTGTTTTT